ATGCAATCTTTTTTTTTTTTTTTTTTAACAAAAGAGGGGGGAAAATCAAAATTAGCAAACTGTAACACAAAAGTTACATCTTCAAAGTGTGACATGACTTACAACATCATAAGCCTTTTCCCTGTCCATGTGCTGTGCAGTTGTAACCTGACTATTAAGCATCTAAATGCAGGAAAAAACAAATATCAACAACGATTTAAGTAAAACATATATCCATGTAGGAAAAGAAGAGGGGGGGGGGGGGGATAGAATGGAGCATAAAAAAAATAGTGAAATTATCACAAAAACCTGATCTATAACATTCCTCTTAGGAACTTGTTTGGTATGGCGAGCAATGCAATGAGGAATGTTAAAAGGGGCATCCTGTGAAGCCAAGCCAATCCTAATATTTGCAGAACCTGAGCAATAATGAGCATGGTATCAACAAAGTTAGAATATTTGATTGCCTGTGGTTGATTTTGGGAAGAAGGTGGCAAATGGGAAGTGAACAAAATTGGATATTTTGCATACCTGGGTTGATAACAACTAGATTGGAGCCACGTTCTGACATTATTTGAGAAGGAAGCGCGGATTTAAGGTAATCCTGTGACATTGAAGACAAGCCCAGTATAATATGAGAACAAAGTTGTGGAAGGGGTAAGAGGTAACCTTGAGAGAGAAATTGTACCATGAGAAAGAGAGGATGTTGCAGTGATTAGAGAGTTGCAAAGGTTTTGCAATTTTTTTTTCTCCTTTAAGGCTTTTGTTTTTCTCTTCTCTTCCTGAGTTCAAAACTGAGAAAGCACTTGCTCTAACAAAATTCTTTAATAAAGCTTCCAAATACACCACCGCGGGACCGTGCTCCAACTCGAATCCCTACAAAACATTGCTTGACGTGTTTCTGCGGACCTATGTTCTGTTTTCAAAATTAGAACCTAAGAACATGTATAGTGTAAACTATCTAAACCACATCATTCGGCCAAATCAAATGGTACTTACTAGGCCTATTGTTTATTGCTTAGCTATCATAAGGACGTATATATAGAATTTATTTTTTTATAATACAATTTTAACCTATTCAATAGTTATATTCATTAACATATGCAACTTCTTAGTACACATTACTATCTTACATGTATATGTGTATATTTAAAAAAAAAAAAGTGTAAATTTAAAATTAATTTGTATTTATTTTACTGAAAAAATAACGTAATAATTCAAGAGGTAAATAAAAACTCTATCCAACGTTACAACAACGACAAGAAATAAATTAAATATTTAATTAATTACACAATTGAAGAAATGAGTAATCTTGTACATGATTGTACTCATATGAAGATACGAGTCACATGAGTCAGTTTTATGGTATGTGTGATTTTGTTTTCCTTCTCTATGTTTTGTCAGATGATAATATATGACTGCGTAATAACGTTTATAAACCTTCACTTTTTTAATTATACCCTAGAAGGTCATTTTTTTTAACATGTCATTCCTAAACTAACTCCAAATAATTACTAAATATATTATTAGTATTAGATGTTTAGAAGTAATTTTAATATCGTCAAACACGGTGGATGCTTCATGATATCAAGAGGGCTTAACAATAATAATTTTCGATAAGAGATGTATTAAAAATAAATATAATTGTAAGCATGAAATATATTATATAACAACAGTTAAACTTTTATCATTGACCAATACCTACATATCACATGACAAACCCGAAAATAAATCCAAAATAATATTCTCCAAAAGGATTCCAAAACAGTTTACTCCCACCCCAAAAATAAAGGGGTTAAAACATAAGAAAATCTTAAATTAAAGGGATGTTCCATTATGTATATCAAAATCTCACATAATTTTTTTTTAGACAACTCGTTACATTATACAATGTATAATATAATATAATATAATATAATATTTAAAACATATATAAAATATTATTATTAGATAACATATTTAAAAAAGTTTAAATTATGTTAAAATTTATATACATAATTGTGCCAATAGTCTAACATTATTTGACAGTTAAATTAATTAAATTTAAATTTTATTAAAAAAAATTATTACAAATATAATTCAACATGATTTTGAAAACTTGATCGAATCAACTGGTTAGACCGATTTGACTTAGAACCAGCCCTTAATCGGATCAGTTAGTCGCAAAAATCATTTTACATCAAACTAGTAAAAATTGATAAAGAAAAAAGTCAATCTATAATCTATCAAAATCAGTAAAATAACCTGTCAACACATATTTGAATTGGTTGAATTAAAAATTTAATTCAACAAATTTTTAATAAAAATACATATTTTAAAAAGTTAAAAATTAGAGGAACTTATTTTTAATACTTATCTTATAAATATAATTTAATCATTTATATTAATTTATAACTTTAAATATCTTTATTTTTATAATTTATATTATATTATTTTAATACCCTTTATTTCAAATGTAAAGTTGTAAATTTATTATTATTAGTGGATATTGTTATATTTATTAAAAATTTATACTTAAATATTATATTATATTTAATTTAGAATTTAAATATCATGTTACACTAAATATTAAGAATTTTCATATAATGTTTTATTTTAATTAAATATTGTTAAAAATTATGATATAATATTTATTAATATTACTTTGTATTGGTAATAACAATTATTACTATTATTTTATTAATAATTATTTGATCATATAATTAAATTATTAAACATTGAACCAATATTTAGATTGATTTACTGACTAATTTAATTTTAAAAATATTGTAATTTAATTAATTTTACCACCAAATGGCAACGAATGTTAACTTATATATATCATCACATATAGATATATAAGAGATTTAGGGGGTAATAATGAGTTTTTTGACTTTTTATTTTAAACCATGTATTCATTAATAATAATATATTTAAGAATAAAAATTATCAAATTAATATAATATAAATTAAAAAAATATTAAAAATTATAAATTAATATAAATAATTAAATTATATTTATAAAACAAATATTAAAAATAAATTATTCTAACTTATATTTTTTATATTAAAATTTTTAAATAGTTTTATAAGTCAATCAAATCAATTAAAAATCACTTCCTGATTGAACCGAACCAATTCAATTGGCGAATTCTATCTGATTTTCAAAATTATAATTTAATCTTAAAAATAAATGATTTAGAACAAGTGTTTTTTTTAAAAAAAACAAATAAGTTATTTTTTTAAAAATATATAGCTATTTATTTAAAAAGGTTTAAATAAACATATAAAAAGTATAAAAAAAAAATATTTATTAAAATATTATTTTATAAAGAAAAAATTAAACAAACACACGTTATAGATTATACTACTCTTTTTTACCCTTCATTTTATTGTTTTGAAATGGTTCCACTTTAACAGTCGTCGAACGGAGCGATGAAAAAGCACTTGGGCTAAACTTTAAAGTTTAAAGGGAAAATTATATTATATAATTTATTATTATTATAATATTAAAGTTTAAAGTGAAAAGTTTAAACGCAACATAACTGAGCAAATGCAGCACACACACATGGTTGGTATGTTATGTTCCCAGTTAAGGTTGAACGAAGGAAGTTGGTGTTTGAGAACTTTTGTTGCTTCAACTTCTTCAGCTCCTGATTCATACTACAGATCTATCACACCCACCTTCTGATTTCACAGGTAACATCACAACCACTTTCCCTTTGTTTTGCCTTTCCAATCTCTCACCACATTTCCAATTTCCCTTTCCAAAGCAATTTTTAAGAATGTTCTGGAAATGGAATGAGAATGACCAACTGTTACAAATTCTACACCATGAATTTTTCATACAAGTAAACATTCTTCCTTTTTTTACCATTATTACATTTGTGTGCTGGATTTCCATTAAAGATTAGTATACCTTTGTGAGCTTTATTTCGTTCTTGAAAAACTATTGTGTTTATGCAGAATGTGTTAATGTGATGGTAATTAATTAATTAATTAATGGATTTAGATCAGTTCGATGTGATGTAGATCCTGATCCTGCAGGCCTCACTATGAGTAGAGCATTTTCCTCAAAGAAATCTTCCACTTTACCTCCGCCACCTACACCAATCACAGTTGCATCATCCTGTGCAAAAAAGAAGCCAAGTCCTAGAAGCCCTTTGCAGGATCTCAACCGCATTTCCAGCAGCAGCAACAGTAGCTATGCTTCTTCTAGTGTTTCCACTGAGGCCCCAAAGGGTTGCCTCAGGTTCTTGTCTTCCTCTTCTTTTAGAACTCCTGTCCATAGACCCAAGAGTCTCACCAAAACTCCCAGCTCAGTCCCTCATGCAGTTGCATTGAAACAATCTAAATCCAATTCCTCCAAGGAAAACCTTCCAAAGGGAAATTCTGGGATCAGAACTAAAACACTTGCATCGGATAAGGCACAGACGCGTAGGAAGAAACCCCCATGCCTCTACCAATGGCAGCCTGGGAAGAAATCTTGGTCTATGACTGGCCAAAAGTCTAAGCCTTGTTCTGCTTTGAATGAACATGGCAAGCTTTTACCTAGATTGCCATCTGCATCGAAGGAGTTGAAGCATAAGGAGGATATCCTGGGAGGGCTAAATGATAATGCTTGTGAGCATGCCCATCTCAAATTGTGTCTTGGTGATGTAAACTCGACTCCGAGTAAAAAGGTTATCGGGTCGTATTTGGGAGATGTTAGAGTTTTTGAGGATGTGGAAGAGAATCCAAATGCAAGCATTAGTAGAACACCTCCAATTCATGATTCTGTTTCCCCGGAGATACAATGTGGGTCTTCTTTGGTTTCAAAAACCACAACACCTGCTTGTTATGGTGCTGGCTATGTTGTTTCTGGTGTTGCTGACAAGAGGAAATGTAGGCCGAGAGGGATTCTCACTGTCGAAAGGTACTATTCAGGCTGTGATAAATTAACTGCTAATAGTTCTGATGATGATGAGAAGAAAGTAATGGATACTGATGACCATGCTAGTCCTTCCTTGTTACCTTTGCCAACTGAAGCTGTGGTGCGTTGGCTTTCTTCTCCATCTAACAAGGGAAAGAAAAATCCGAGTCAAAAGTTTGAACATGGACTAAATCAAAGTCAAGGACTAGGAGAATCGACAACTCTTGCTTCTAGTACTTCACTATCATCCAGTTCTAAAACTTTTTGGAATGTAAGTGATAGCAGTGATTTGTCTTGTGGTGCTGATGGCATCATGAGAAAAATCAGTTCTTTAATTTCTCCAAGTGGACTTGCTGAATTTCAAGTACCTTCTAATTACAAATTATCGCCTTCATATTCATCCTTATTGTTTTCTCCCAATCCCACACCTATTTGTAGGGCAGGTAGCTCAGGGAAAAGTAAACGTGATAGATACAATCTCATTGATGAGAATTCTCCCTTCTCCCTGAATTCATTTGGTAGTCAAAATGTTATTCAAACTCCAGAGTCAGATTGTAGTTCATATTTACATGTTGGATTGTCATTGGTGCATACAGACAATCTAAAGGGAGATGATTCTAACCCTGACCTTAACAAATCAAGCAAAATGCTTCTATCAGAAAACTTCCTTAATAGCTCTATACTACTGGAGGATTCTGTTAATTCAAGTTTCCAATTTGATTGTTTAACTGTGCCTCATGAATCTATTGATCTCAGCAAACATCCAAATTTTTTGGATGATCAGGATCCTTGGTTATCTAGTTCTACAACAGAGAATGCATCACAATCCCAAATGAGGGTATCATGGAGGGAAGGGTTAATGAGCCAACTTTATGAGCTGGATGAGTTTGACTGCTGCAGATGCTTATCGGATGAAGAAGAGATTGCCAATGACTCTGGTACCGATAGGTTTTCAGGTCCTCAAGTCAATGTTGAAACAAATGACGGAAAAAAATTGAACAGTGATGTTGGAATCACTGAAACTGAGGATAATGAGCTGGAAATTGATGGCCTTGGCAAAGACAATATTTCAGCTTTAATATCATGTTCTGGTGCTGAATCTATCAGCACTGATGGTGGTGGTCTAGTTGCTTCAGGGGAGGATCCAGACTGGACTTTATGCCATGTTAACAAGTTATTTGAAGTGTGAGTCTACACGTCATTGTTTGTTCCATTCATAAAAAAAAACTTGTCATGTAACACCCCTCCCCCAAAAGAAAAATGTCAAAGGTGGTGATCTAGTTACTATTTGAACAAGGTCTTAACTTCCTCTATGGCAATGTGGAAATTCACCTCGCTCATAATGTGCACTTGTCTTGTATATAATGGGTGAAGGAAGAATTTCAACTTGGTGGAAGCAAAATTTTTTCTACTTTCAATTTAGGAATAATTAACTGCTCAAGTGGTTAATCAAATCAATTGTGGCTACTTTTTAACCACTCTTTGAACATCATTAACTGGTTGAGTAATTAATACTTCCTAAACTATAAAATTTTTAGACAATTTTTTTTTTAATTTACCCTACTCTTTTTCCTTCTTAGTTTTTCCATTCTTGAATTTAGTGAAATTTGTCTTTCACTCACCTATTGGTTAACCTACATGGAAACCATTCATAAAATATTGTGTATCAGTTTTTATTGCTTTGGACAATGTGTCTCTAATTTGTTTATTGGCTAGAGGAAATTTATACCAGCTTCATTCAAGTCATAATCTTTCGCAAACTTTTTTTTTTTTAGTTATAAAAAATGATAATCATATTGGTGGGGAATACATGAGTAGTAGACTAGACATACACTCACATGTTGCTGCTTAAAAGATAAGTTCAAGTAGTTGAGAGGTCTCTGATGATAATGATACGAGATTACGAGTCTACTAAAACACGCTGCAAGAAGAGGCAGTTTTACTATCTAAAATGAAATTATCTTTTGACTTCACTTTCTTGTTCCCACCATTTGGCTATGTAACATAATGTGATATTGTGATGTCAAATTATCTGGGCGCAATTAAATTAGTTTCACCTTAGGAGTTGAATACTTGAATTGAAAAAAAAATGGACATATCACACTTGGGCATCGATGCCAAAGAAGTTAGTTTATCAATATAATACATGTATATAAAATGAGCAACTGACTCTTCTGTGGTAAAAATAGAAGTAAATTTATGTGAAACGGGTTAGAAGCGTTCAATCTGACCGTATTCAAATTATATATGGTATTGTGTTTATCTGTTTAAGTCAATCAAGATTAAATATTGGTCAATGTTAAATGTTAAATATGCAGAGAAGCGTTTTGCCCTAATTGGTTTGAATTAGATTATGTGCGAGTGAGTAAATTAACACATACTTGAATTCTGATATTCGATCGAGTATGGCATATAAACAACAATTGAGACAAGAGAATGGCCAAGACACTTTTTTATTACGCATTATTTATCCAGAGAGGTTCTTTAAAATAAGTGTAACCGACAGAAAATTATAATTTTTAATAAATTTCGGTAGATAAAGAGTATGTTTAAAAGAATATGCTACTTGGCGTTTCTAGGGAGTAGTGCCGGACTCCAAATCGCCAAATCCTGTCTCTCACATAGGAAGTACATACTTGTATATATATATATATA